TTCTTATCAAAAAATATCAAACATGGATTTACCATTCAAAATTAAATTACCAGAAAATCTTGCTTCAACTTTAAGGTCAGAAATTGGTAATATTGATTATAAACTTACTGCAGAAATATCTCGAAAAAGGAATTTTTGGAAGTTTCAAGGACCAAGGAAAAATATCGAATGTAATTGTAACATCTTAAAATATTGTTTACTCCCACCACCAGTTCCTGTACATTGGGTAGAATATGATACTGAAAAGGCCACCATATCAAATGGTATAGGTTATAACGTTCGTATGGATGATATAAATTTTGGACCTAGTAACCCAATAATTGTTTATGTGAAATTGAAATCATATAATCCTAAATTAAAGATTAAAGAAATATTTGTTGGGTTAAAAAAATATTGTAGCTTTAATGCCCAAGGTGGCTCAAAACATGAAGAGAAATATGTATTAAAAAAACAAGTTATTGGAGACAAAATTATGTGGGATAATTATAATGAATGTTATTATACTTTTGTATTGGATATTCCTGAAGATATGACAAAATTTGGACGGACGATCAAACTTGAACATATTCTTGTAGCCTTTAAAATTAAAATAAAGATTAAAAAAGAAGGAACGGATATTAATTTAGAACATGATGTTAGGATTGATAATTTTTTGCCTGTAAATTTATAATTTTACACTCTTTTATTTCTCATTTATTATGTTTCATTCATATGTTTATTTATTTTATAATCTTCATGAGTTGGCTCATATGGAGCCTTAATAAATACCATAATTATAACTGTATCATAATGAGAACCCAAGAATGATGACAGGGTGTTGGAAAGTACTTTTTACATGTTGTGTAATATCACTGGTAAATATACATTTGGATTTCCCTTGATGGTTTAGCTTCTTGAAAAAAAGGTTGTTCAAGTGAGATGCTTGGTAGATAATTAAGAAATAAGAAATTATAATTACAAAATTTTAATAAACAAATTGACAGTTATAATTATACATGCAGCATGACTTTCGAAATCGTGTAATGTTGTAGTGTCATAATCATGTCGTAATGTCCTAATTAATTCTTTTGTTTAATAAAAACACTTTGTAGTCGGAAATTAAACAGTAGTTTTAATTGTCCATTTGGTTATCAGAGTGGTATAGAACTAGAGTTTCTGTTCGTAATATTGATTCTTATTAGAATAGAAACCCTACATAGAACTCTGGGTTTTTGTAACTCGGTTTTGGTTACTTGCTTTAGTAGAAAACAAAGGTTTTGGTTTTTGGTTTTTGTTAAGCGTAAGCGTTTTTTTTTTTGTAAAAGAATTTAAGTGTTTTTGTGAAAACGTAAGGTGTTAAGTTTGTTTGTCCAGATATAAAGTGCTGACATTTATTAACCAGGGTAGTTATCACATATCACTTTGTTGTATTGTGTTAAAGTATTTTGCAAACGTAAGGCTGGATTTGATCAACCAAAGTAAAAGCAAATAAACAAAGTGCTTCACTAAAGCATTTGTTGTTTTGAAATAGGACTACAGCTTGTTTTGTAATTAATTGTACCGTAAAAATGTGCCTACAAATTCGCCGAAGCTTTTTAGGTACAAGAAAGAGGCAGAAAATTCGTAAAACAAGTTAATTGATGAATTAATCGACGAGTGTAGCTCAAAAGTTAATTCAAACTCGGCTACAGGATTACACTGATTATTATTACATTTGGTATATATTATGACATTACGACCTAATTATGACATTACGGCTATTAATCAGATGCCGTAATATTATGACATTCACAATCGATTTGGGCTGTATGTATATATATCAAATTTATTACTACTAAAGTATTATTACTAGTGATGCGCATAATGTCCCAACGAATAATATAATGAACATGTACTTAATAAAATTTGGTCTCATTTTACAAAGCTTGGCCGTGAGGCCATTTATAAACAAGAAAGAGCTCAGTGTAATTATTGTTCACATAAATTGCTTGCTGTTGCAAATCGTTGTGAACAGCACATTAAAAATATACCAAATTTTCCACAAAAATGTTGTTGTATTGACATAGATGAGGATGAATTATATTGGGAAATGAAGATAATGAATTATAAAAAATGGAAGTGAATTTAAATGATGAGATTAGAGAAGATGATGAAGAAAGTAATAATGAATCAAATGAACAAGAAATAATTTTAATGATTACTCCAAATGAGCAAAATCAAGAAGTCATTAAGAATTTCCACCCGAAAAGTTGCAACTAGGCAACAATGAAAGTAAACCATTAAAAAGTCTTAGAAAAATTAAAAAAGTAGAATTTGATCCAAATCAACAATCAACATTAGTAACTAATTTTTTATCTTTGCATTTATATTATTTTTATTGTAATTTTGCAAAATGGTTATATTTTTGTATATATATTATTTTTTTTAAAAAAATAAAGTTTTATTCATGCGATTATCACTTCGTCTATGATGATCTTTTTTAGTCCAGTTCGAAAAGTTTGTTATAGAGAGTGTGTATTGTACAAAGTAATTTGGGATTTGGGATTATTGATTTGATTGAAATTCAAATTTGATAGCCTGTCTGCATAATCAATTATAATTGGACATTTAATTAGCATGCAGATCGTAAGACAATTTGTGCAACAGAGCATCTTAACAATATTTCAAATTTTTTCAGTTACTCGGCAAGATAAAACATTTACTCAAAACAGATTACACTACTTTCTCCTCACCACCAATTTCCTTACTCTTTTGCTATGTTATGCCAATTTACTAACCCCAGAATTATGCATCATTATTTTTGAAACAGGTTGGAGTGTTTCCTCACATATAGTAATCAAACTAGCTTGAATGAAGCTTTGACAAAAAAGAACAGTCATTGGTTAACTAATTTGCCAAATCACAAACTTCTCAAATGTTTGCAACACCAAAAAAGGAATTTAAGTCAAGATACTAGTACCAGGAAGTCTTTTCCTTCAGTTGAAAAAATCAGAGAGTGGGCACCTGCACAAATTGTTAGTTTTTTAGAGTCTGGAGATGATGACTTATACCTTACTAACAATGACATTGAAATGATCAAGAAAAGTGGAATTGCTGGTGAAGATTTTGTTCTCTTGAAAGAAGAAGATCTCTATTGTATTGGATTATCTCTTGGTCCAGCCAAAAGAATAGAACGGTTGGTTAAGAAATTTTAAGAACACCTTTAATAGATAGGCCACCTACTAAGCTTGTACACATATTCATTGATAACTCAAACATCTAGACCGAAGGAAAGTACACCATTGGCAACCTTGAGCAGTTAGGTACTTTTGATTATGATAAAAGTTCCTATTATTTTAAACATCTCCAGATTGATTATGGTAGGCTTCTCACTACAGTTCAGCATGGACATAAACTAGGTGGTGCGCCATTCTTGATTGGTTCTCAACCACCCCCTAATGACTCATTGTGGCTACGCACTAAGGATCAAGGATTTGAGATGAATGTGTTTGATCAGGATATCAAAAACCACCATGAGAAGGAGGCTCATATAGAGCTTGCAATGGCAGCAATAGAAACAATTATGTCCAATGATCCTGGTATTTTAATTATTATTGGTGGTGATAAAGACTATGGACCCATAGTAAAACGAGCACTGAAATGCAATTGGGTTGTGGAGACATGGTCTTGGAATTTAGGTATGAAAGTGTTATGTTTGAAGTCATATGAATTTTTAAATTGCAATATTTGAAATATCCTGTCCTCTATAGGAGTGCCTATTAGCCTTAAGTCCGATACAAATTTTTATCCTCTGGATAATTGTTATCAATCCTTCTCATATGGATTAGGACCTGACTTCACTAAGAAGAGCAAAGTCCTTAAAATTACTGATGGCAACTTTATTCGAGGTTTGAGAAATGAAGATGTGCTGGAATGGTTTATTACTTTAAAATTGTTTGGTTGGTGGGAATGGGGTGATGATAAGGCCATGCGATTTTACTTTAATAATTTAGAATGCTTGGAGATGGTAAAAAATTGGATTGAGAGCAATTTTCAGGTTCAGACAGAAAATTAAGGGAAAAAGATTTTTTAAATAGAAATTTTTATTAAATTACTTTTGCAAATTAATAACAACCAATGTAAATGAATTTTAAGTGCTGAATGTTTATCAGATCCTAGCAAATAAACCTTTATTAAATTTATTTTATTACTGTTAGTGTTATCATTATTATTGACTTCTGTTTTTTTTTATATTAAATGTATTAAATGGTTTATCAGTGCCATGTATCATAACATTCCAATTGCTAATATCTTAATGAGGTAGAGTGGAAGAAGAAACAGGCTGAGACGGAATGGATTCCAAAACTAATTTTAGATCAGAATTTGATAAGGTGATGACTGAATAAATCGCAGGGTCATTCTCATATCCTGGATCAAGCTATCCAAAAGAATTTCAACTGATAATGTTACACAAATGCAAAGCAATCTAATCTAATGTTGTGTGTTTTTATATGATTTCCAGACCTCCTCCTGTTTTTATGAATAAATAAGAGGTATGTATTGTTGTATAAAAATGATTAAGCTTATTTTTTACATTGATTCAGGGCCTATGAGATGTGTAAAGATTCTATGTTACTACCTATCAGAAAAGCATTATTAAATTAATAAAACATTGTAAATCAATCAAACCACATAAATTATTAAAAGCAAATCATATATTCTTACATTTGTCAAATCAAAGATTAATATTAGTGTATTAACATTTTCTTTCCATGGTGCTCCTTTTTAATGGATATATTGGTCGTTTTCACCTACAAATGGACACAAATATCTCAAACAAATACAACTCATAAAGGAATTCTGCTTCCGAAATATATTAATATGTGATGTAACTATATAAATTATGCACAGACCCAATTTGATATTCATTTTTAGGAAGGTCTACTGGGCCTTAATTACCAACCAAGAGGAATTCTTGGTGTAAATATATTATTCACCCTTTAGATATAGAGTAAAACATGGAAAGAAAATGTTTAAAAGGGCAGTATATTTGAAATAAATGTTAACTTTTTATTTTCATTTTCTAAAAACTACCAATTTTCATAGTCAAACTTAGAAATGGAAGCATTTCTATTAACACAGGAACTTGACACACTACTGCTTTATATAAACAAGTAGAAATTGGTGAGTGGACTGCTGATTGTAAAAAAAATGATAATTTTTAAAATTATTATATAACATAACACAAAATGAGAATGTGTTAAAAAAAGAGCATCTCAAAGCAGGGATATTGGCAAGGATTTAGAAGAACTGGTAAGTTTACATCAATATTTGGTATAATTAGTTACCCAGATATGATGTCTCTCCTATGTTCAAAATGTGAGAGTTGTGTTAGATGATAGTGTGATCCTGTGAAGATCCTTATATAATGCATCTGCACAGTTTAGATACAACTTATGTGTAAAGTAACCAGATCTCAAAGGAGGGGAAAAAATAGAAGAATTATACAAAAGGACCCTTATTCTTGATGATATCTATAAAATATGAGATGGGGATGGAGGATATATTTATTAGATTTGGCAGTAGACAACTTAAGACAGGTAAAAAACAGGTAGAGATTAAGGTTTCTGGTCGAAATTGCTTCTCTTAGTAGCTGAAATTGCAAAAATTAATTCTCATAGGCCCAAACTATTATCAAAGCTACTTTTTTTT